GAGGAGACGGGGAGGGTCAAGATAGTCGCGAGCAGCAGCCACAAAAAGGCAGCACCCAGAGCGCAGAGCATGCCGTACATCAAAACGTACGGCTCGCCCGCAAACTGTGACGCGTCGGCGATGCCGCCGGAGATCGTGGAGGTCACCTCACCGCCTAGAGATACGGCGCCAGCTAACTCGCAGACGGAGGCAAGAACAATAATCTGCTTCAGCGTCAACACGCGGGAGCCGTACGTCGTGCCAAAGGCATTGGCAAGGTCGTTCATTCCCACACCGCATCCGGTGAGGAAGGCGACGATGCCGCCAACGATGGCGATCCACAGGTATTGGTTGGTCATCAGCAGGCGTTCTCCAAATTCCGCTTGCTTGCCGGAAGTGGCGTTCGCAGAGGTTGTGGTACTTGGGAAAAGAAACCTGGCACGGTGCGTGGAAAAGAGGAAACACAGAGAGAAAAACAAAAGAAAAAAAAACATCCAGTGGCAGGCAGCCGGAGTCAGCAAACGTCTCGGCCCTCATACCGTCGCTTTCCAGGCCATTCGAGAGTTGTACGTTAACAGAGAGTCAAGGAGCAAGAGGGCGAGCAAGAGCGAGATCCCCGTAAGGACATTATTTGCTGAAAGTAATGTGTCGCCGATTGCGGCTCTTTCACTGGACGCAGCCGCACAGCTGGAGTTCAGCTTGTTTGCGGTGCCACACTTTCTGGGCACGGCTGCAAACTGTGTGAGCCCCCGGCAAGCTTCTCACGGGTCCCTCACCCTCTGAGCGGTCGCAGGACAAAGAAGCGGTGCACATGCAACACAATCAACAAAGCTGTGCCAGGACACACAGTGTTCTACTTATTCCCACGTTTAAAAAAAAAAGGCCGTGGGCACACAATTTCCTAACGAGTAGTCGTGTTTACATCGGGTGAGCTTGGAGCGCCTGGCGCAGAGAGGCCGCAGCACGGCACGCACGCTTCCGGTTACGGCAGTGCAGCGGCGTCGTGCGGCTTCAGCACAACCCTCAAATCGAGTCCAACACCTCAAAGATACGTCTTATTTCCTAACGCGTTGTTTGGTTTTTTACTGCAAAGAAACGAGCAACGGGCATCATGCGGCACCCCCGCTGCCCCGCCCCCGGCACCCACCCACACAGCGCGGGTGCCGGTGACTGGCACCGCGGCAGAAGGGGCCCTCGGGCCGCCGCAACGAAAGCTCAGCTCAACACATTCCGTTTTACCACTCCTGTCGGGAGCAAAAACACGGCGCAACACAAAAAGCTTGAAACTAAACCAGCAACGGAAACAAAAGTTTCATTTCAAAAAAAACACGCATAAAAACAAAACAAATAAATAAAAAGCTAAACACGTCTCCACTTGTTACTTATTGATCCCCTATTGCAACATGCAAGCTTCATATTGCCACCATGGGCATCAATTACCCTAAATACCCTCTTGATGCTAAATAAATCAACTGTACCTGACCACTACGCGGCCACGACAGCGCCACACAAAATAACCTGAAGCCTTTGCGTCATCCGGCACGGCTTGGGGAGTAGATTCCCTGTGCGAAGAACAGCGCGGAGATCACACCGCAAATGACCAGGGTCATAATCCATCCGGCGTACAGCTTCGCAATAATGATCCAGCGCAGCTTCAAGATGCCAACGTCAACCATGCTGATCGCAACCACGGCGCCGGTGATGCAGTGCGTCGAAGAGATCGGCACGCCGTAGCCGGAGGCAAACGACACCACAAGCGCGGTCGAAAGCTCCGCAGAGAAACCGCGGCTCGGTGTGATCGTCGTGATGCGCTCCCCAAGCAGCCTCATGATCCTCACGCCGAACGTCGCAAGACCAAGCACAAGCCCACCACCGCCAAGGAACAAGATCCATATTGGCGTATCGCTCACCGCCACCACCGTCTGAGTCCTATAGATGGCGTAGATGGCGGCGAACGGCCCCATCGCATTGCTCACATCGCTCGCGCCGTGCGCAAAGGATGCGCAGACTGCGGTGAACACCTGCAGGTAACGGAACACGTACTCCGCGCGGTTGTCAAACAGCTGCACAGTAAACGGTAGCTCACTTTCCGTCACCTGGCACCCGTTGTTGGAGCTGTTATCCGAGACGCCCACGATGGACCCTGTGAGGGGCTCGTTGGACATCTTTG